AGGTCATCTAGTCCAACCCCCTGCTCAGGCAGGAAACCCTACACCATTTCGGACAAATGGCTGTCCAGTCTCTTCTTAAAAACTTCCAGTGTTGGAGCATTTACTTCTTCTGGAGGCAGGTTGTTCACTGATTAATTGTTCTCACTGTCAGGAAGTTTCTCCTTAGTTCTAGGTTGCTTCTCTCCTTGATTAGTTTCCATCCCGTTGCTTCTTGTCCTGCCTTCAGGTGCTTTGGAGAATAGCTTGACTCCCTCTTCTTTGTGGCAGCCCCTGAGATATTGGAACACTGCTATCATGTCCCCCCTTGTCCTTCTCTTCGTTAAACTAGACATACCCAATTCCAGCAACCGTTCCTTATATGTTTTAGCCTCCAGTCCCCTAATCATCTTTGTTGCTCTTCTCTGTACTCTTTCTAGAGTCTCAACATCTTTTTTACATCGTGGTGACCAAAACTGGATGCAGTATTCCAAGTGTGGCCTTACCAAGGCATTGTAGAGTGGTATTAATACTTCACGTGATCTTGATTCTATCCCTCTGTTAATGCAGCCTAGCACTGTGTTGGCCTTTTTGGCAGCTGCAGCACACTGCTGGCTCATATTTAGGTGATTGTCTACTAGGACTCCGAGGTCCCTCTCACAGTTACTACTATTGAGCATGGTACCACCTATGCTGTACTTGTGCATTTGTTTTTTCTTGCCTAAATGTAGAACCTTGCTTTTTTCACTATTGAATTTCATTTTGTTAGTTAGTGCCCAGTGTTCAGTCTGTCCAGATCCTTCTATATCTTAAGCTGTCTTCTGGAGTGTTGGCTATTCCTGCCAGCTTGGTGTCATCTGCAAATTTAATGAGTTCCCCATCTATCCCTTCGTCCAAATCGTTGATGAAGATGTTGAAGAGCACTGGGCCCAGAACAGAGCTCTGGGGCACCCCACTACACACTTCCCTCCATATAGATGCAGTTCCATTGAGGACCACTCTCTTGAGTACGGCCGGTAAGCCAGCTACAGATCCATCTGGTGGTGATTCTGTCTACCCCACATTTTTCTATCTTATCAAGTAGTAGGTTGTGATCTACTTTATCAAATGCCTTACTGAAGTCCAAGTAAATTATGTCCACAGCATTCCTCTAATCCACTAATTTTGACACTTGGTCAAAGAATGCAATAAGATTTGTCTGGCATGATCTATTTTTGACTTTGTTTGCCTCTAGGTGTTCGTTGATTCGTTGTTTGATTATCTTTTCCAGGATCTTCCCAGGTATTGAGGTCAGGCTGATAGGTCTGTAATTTCCTGGATCCATTTTTTTTCCTTTTTTGAGGATGGGAACTACATCAGTTCTTTTCCAGTCCTCTGGTAGTTCCCCTGTGTTCCAGGATCTTTGAAAAATATAGTTCAGTGGTTCCGATATCACATCTGCCAGTTCCTTGAGAACCTTGGGGTGTAATCCATCTGGTCCTGGCGATTTGAACTCATCTAGGCTGGACAGGTGCTCACTAACGATTTTCTTGCCTATCTTAACTTGTGTTTCTGTTTTGTTTTTTGTGGCACTATTTTTGATAGGTTGGTCTTTTTTTTCCCTTTGTGTAAAGACAGATGCAAAAAATGAGTTAAATAGTTCTGCTTTCTCCCTGTTGCTTGTCACCTTCTTGCCACTTCCACCCACTAATGGACCAATCATTTCCTTCACTTTTTTCTTGTTTTTTACATGTTGAAAGAAGCTTTTTTTGTTATTTTTGACTTTGGTCGAAAGCCTTAATTCATTTTGAGCCTTGGCTTTTCTTACTTCATCTTTGCAGGCTCGGGCCACCTGCCGATATTCTGACCTAGCTATGTTCCCCTCTTTCCACTTTCTATACTTGTCCTTTTTATCTTTCAATTTGTCAGAGAGTTCTTTATGCAGCCATGCTGGTTTCTTTTGAGAGCTGTTGTTTTTCCTCTTTGTTGGTATTGTGCTAGACTGTGCTTTTATTATCTCATTTGTCAAAATTTCCCAAGCTCCTTGAGTTGTTTTCCCCTTGAGGATTCTCATCCATGGAATCCTTCCCAAGCCCTCTCTAAGTTTATTGAAATTAGCTCTCTTGAAGTCCAAGACTCTAGTTTGACTGTGTTCTATTGGTTGTGCTTCTATAATGTTGAATTCTAATATTGCATGATCACTTCCTCCCAGGGGTCCTATGGCTTCAACACCGTCTATCATTTCATCTCTGTTAGTGAGAATTAGATCCAAAATGGCTAATCCCCTAGTTCCCTTCTCTACTTTTTGGGAGACAAAGTTGTCTGCTAGGTTTACCAGGAACCTGTTTGATCTTCCACTTGGTGCGGAGTTTGTCTCCCAGTTGATGTCAGGGTAGTTAAAGTCCCCCATTACTATTTTGATGTGCTTCCTACATACCTTAATTAGCTGACTAACAAAAAGTTAATCTATTTCCTCTGTTTGGTTGGGTGGTCTGTAGTATACACCTATGGCAATGTCATTCCCCCCCCCCCCTTTTATATTGACCCAAATGCATTCAAGACAGTTTTTATCATTGTTGTACTCTATTTCTGTAGAGATGTAGTTATTTCTTATATAGAGAGCAACTCCACCTCCTCTTTTATTTGGTCTGTTTCTTTTAAATAATTTAAATCCCTCTAGCTGTGTGTTCCATGTGTTGGTTTCATCCCACCATGTTTCCGTAATGGCAACAATATCGTATCTGCCCTCATTAACCTGAATTTCTAGTTCACCCTGTTTGCTGTTCATACTCTGTGCATTGGTGTATAAACATTTGAGTCCTTTCTACATAACCTGTGTGGTGCCTGAGTTCCCTTTTTGTCTTACCACCTATTTGGTTAGTGCACTTTGTGTAGCACTCGCTATTAGAGGCTTCATTTTGCTTGATAGCAGGGTTGGTATTCGTGTCCACACACACATCTATGCTACATGCACTGATAGCCCTATAATTTTTAGATTGCCGGGGACAGGATTGTTCCGTATCAATTAACTTCCTGTCCCCGCTGTTTAGTTTAAATTCCCCTCCAGAAAATCTGTGAATTTATACATGTTGTACATGGCCCCAAAGAGGTCCTGCCTTATAAGAAGAGAAAGTTATCAACAACCACTCTCTGCCTATCTGTATAATTTCATGTTAGTAATCTAGACCACAGGTTCCCAACCTGTGGACCACTAGTGTGCTGTGAGGGGTTTGCAACTGGCCGCGGAAACAGCCAGTGAGCGCACATGCATGCTCATTTGTATGAGCAGCAGGCAAGCGCACGTGCTCCATTTGTGTGAGTGGCAGACGGTATGCATGCTACTCGCGCAAATGGAGCTGCACACACGTGCTTGCCAGCCGCTTGCACAAACCATCCCTCCCCCCGCCCCCCCCCCCCGGGGTCCACAAAGCCGGAAATGTTTTTCTACACCATGGCAACCAAACTAGTCACCAGTGCCATATTTCAACACTCCCTACAGAAGAAATGTGCAGATGTTTTCTGCTTGTAATACTTTGCAAACTGCAAGCCACTCTTTCCCCTGGGGTCAGAGGAAACCATTACAGGTAGAAATAAAAAGTAGTGGTTCTTTTTTCTTTTCCTTCTCTTTCTCTGCAGAGAAAAATGACTGCCTTGAAGGATTTTTTTGATCAGGCTCACTATATTGTGAGTCTCACAAAATGGATGTTGTAGAAATATGGTAAAATAAATAAATTAATCAGGGATGGGGGCATTGACAAAGGGGAGGAGGCTATTTTCCTTTAAGACCCACTCATTGATATATAGCCTGTAGAGATGTCCTGGAGAGCAATTGAACCCCTTCAAGCCAGATTATGTTTCCATTCTAGTTTGGCTGGTATACGGTTCCAGTGTTAATCAGATCGTTTTATGTGGTGAGAAAATGTAATGCAAGAAGAAAATAAATTGGATCTAATGTGCTTTGTACTAGGTCTCTTTAAAATCAGAACAAACTGTTTATAATTCTAGTCCTATTGCAATCAGAGACTAACATTCATCAAATTTTATTCTGCATTGCAACAAGTCATGTTGCTAAGCACAGAGAGCTGGGTTATCCCCAAGTAGCTTGTGAATATATAGTATAGTGCAATGATGGCGAACCTTTTAGAGACCGAGTGCCAAAATTGCAGCCCAAAACCCACTTATGTGTCGTCGGGTGCCGGGTGGGCGTGGCCTATTGGCTGGGTGTGGCCCATTGGGTGGGCGTGGCTGCGATGGTAACGGCAGACTGGGTGGGACTAAAATGTTCAATCAATCAATTCCAACTTTGCGAGATCTTTTTTTTTCCCGAGAAATTGAAATTGACTGACTGATTGATTGAATCTTTTTGGGGGGGGGCACATGACGGCGGAGGCCTAAAGTGAAAAGGTTTTATAAAACCCAGCTGAAGGCCTAGGACTGGGACAATGGCGCGAGTGCCCACAGAAAGGGCTTTGCGTGCCACCTGTGGCATGTGTGCCATAGGTTCGCCACCACGGGTATAGTGGATGGTGGAAGAGAGAAAGGAAGGATTCATTATTGCTGATATAACTATTAATTTTTAAAAATATAAGTACCTAAATATCTTTCAGAGACCAAATGTTATAGCAATACTTATATATTATCCTCAAAGCACAAAAAAGCAGCAGTTAAAATGATATTCGTATTATTGGTTCCCTTCTTGAAGTAATCATTGCAAAAGACCTCAATGAAGGTCTTTATTCTTCAAATAATTTTAAATGAGTGAAATTCCAATTAAATTATTGTTTCAATTATCATTGTTTATTTTAAGCATGTCTTAATTATATTTGTTTATGTTGCATTTCTTTATAGGAACAAAAAGGTAAGATAGCCTTAAAATACTGATATTAAGGAATATGTTACAGTATTTAAAACAATCACTTCAATGAAAAATGCAGGAAATCATAGCAGAAAAAATCATGACCTTCTCCATCAGAATTTGGAATATAAAATTGAGTATTACTCAGACTCCTGCCTAAGATATCCCCTACTGTCTTTTCCCACTGCAGGTGCCTGCAGACTAACGGAACACGAGGTTGCCCCAACTGCCGGCGTTCATCAGTTAAACCAGGGTTTGTGTGAACTGCTGATGAATTGATGACTTAAGAAAATTCATCCATTAGGTGTGAAAAGACAGAGCACTGGAGCAGTTCTGTTACAGGATCTAGAGATGAAACCCATCATATAGATACAAAATCTCCTGCAGGATTGATGGAAAATGCACACCTAGATCTTTGTCATCTCCTTTCACACATCTGAGTTGTGAACCTCTTCCAGGAATTCTGTATCATCTCCTCTTTCAAAGCCAGCTAGAATAAGCCACCTTTGCTCCTTCAACAACTTGTTAGCTTGATCTTCCACAATCTCAATTTGATTTTGATTTTAATTTTAATTTTCTGCTTCTTTTGCTAGCTTCCTTCAGGGCCAACTCTGACACTCATACTTCACTTCAGAGGTTGTGGGAGCTTCATCATTGGAAGCTTTTAAGAAGAGATTGGATTGCCATCTGTCAGAAATGGTGTAGGGTCTCCTACTTGGGCGGAAGGTTGGACTAGATGACCTACAAGGTCCCTTCCAACTATTCTATTCTAATCTATTTCTTTTCTATTCTATTCTATTCATTCCTCATGGGAAGCATACTGATCCTACCTACATAATGCTTCTTGAACTGGCACAGTATTACTTTCTTGTAGGTATAGTGACAGCTACTCTTTTCCAGACATTGCTTGAAGTTACTTCGACTTAACATTCTGACTGATATTTTTCGTAATTTATATTGGTACCTAACAGCTGTTTATGGTTTAAAACAACTAAGCCATTCATAATGCGTCTTTTTCCATTTCCAAAGAACTTTTCTCAACTTGATGCTTTTCAAATGATTTCCAGAATTTTTAGGTAACAAATTTTGCGATTCAAAGTCCAATTGTCTGGAAGGAGTCAGATTGGTTAACTAATATGTCAGAGTTAAGAGACTGCCTCTCAGCAATGTAATTATTTCAGTATGTCTCTGTTTTCATTGTACAGCTGTATCCTTCAGGTTCTTCTTGAAGTATCTGATATCTTTAGTTTGCTTACATTCTCACAGAACATTCAATTTCTGCATGGGACTAGGGGGGGGAAGCCTTACAATGTCCCAGGGAATGTTTCTTGCCTTGTATTCCTTTGCCATCATCTTGTAATGTTATATGGGCAGTGATTGGTCCAATCATGGAATTGTCAGCAATGTATTTATACTTTCTGTAAACTGTTTATACTGGAATAAATAAAATCGCAGCCTGTAAGTCAGTGTTTTCTAAAGTTGTAGCTATGTTTTCATCTTTTAGAAACTGAAGAAAGGAAGGAAGGAAAGGAAGAAAGAAAAAGAGAGAGAAAGAAAGAAAGAAAGAAAGAAAGAAAGAAAGAAAGAAAGAAAGAAAGAAAGAAAGAGAAAGATGTATATTGACTAAGAAATATAGGTGTTATTAGTAAGTGTCACCCTGACCAAAAATACAATATAACATTCTGTGAAGAAGCTGTTTTAGAAGAGTGGGAAGAACATTATAAGAAATTCTAAATGTTGGTTGTGGGAGATACATATATATGAGTTGTGGAGGATATATATGAGTGAGTCATCTGAAAGATGGCCCAAAGGCACTGGCAGAGAAAGGTCAAGGATGGATGCTTGTGTGCCCAGAGCACATCAAGATAAAGGCAGATTTAGAATCTACAATATACTAGGGAGCCAGAATAGTTTAGAGAATTATATGTTGGAGGCAGAATTCAGGAGGCTGGATGTTGGAGGAAGGAGTGTGGGAGAGAGATATCAGTAGGGATTTAAGAGGAGGAAGGAGATAAAATGCCAATATAAAGGAAATGAGAAGTATGAAATAAAAGCAGAAGTGAATTGAAGCAACTGGGATACAAGGGTCATGGATATAAATAGGAGATAGAAAAATAAAAAATACAGCTTTAGAAGAGATTATAAAATTAAGAGAATAAAGAGTTAATAGACCATAGATTAGTTTGAATCCAACTAGGTAAAAGTAAACTGCTAGTCTCATAAATTAAGATATGTTATCACTGCAGAGATATTAAGCTAGAAATAAGATAGCAGAGAAACAAAATATAGAAATAAAAATACAAAATTATATAGTATAAAGAACAAATGTATGAAAGATAATAAAAGCTATGGAATGAGCAATGGCGTAATGATTAAAGTGTAGCTGAAAAGGTATAGCAAAAGTTCAAAGTTTACTTGACACGTACTCGTCAATTTGTTGAAAATCCAGCCCTTCTGTAACCTAGTTGTGGATGAACATCTGTGAACTTATCACTACCAAGTTTACTCAGCACTAAACTGCTCTAACAGATATACTCACTCTTCTGATTCTTGATGTCTAACAATACACAATTCTCATTATTGGGAAAGGGAAAGAACAGAAATCAGTCACCACCTATAAAAAGCTTTGCCTCCTCTCTAATGAACCACTGTCTTTGTTTTTCCTAAGTTTGTACCAACCCTGAACTACAACAATCTTAGTAATGCTCCCATCATGATAAAGAGAGCCTAGTAACTTGCACAAACATTCCAGTTTCTTTTCTAATTCCACAAGTAGGCAGCCATTTTGTTCATTTGAGCTGACCATCTTTTTACTGATGTAATGCAGTAGAAAAGCAAGTATGTGTATTGTTAATTTGTTAATGGAAAAATGAAAACATAATCCCCAATAGCATTTTGCGTTTAACTACTTAATAAACATACTTTTTTTTACATAAACTGTCTCCAATCCTGTAAACAGTAGCATTTTTAAGACAAAACTATCAGCTTTTGTGATCAGTTTTCTTTAAACAGCTGAAAAATACTTTATAAAAACATAGATACCAATCTAGTGTTCTCTAGGTTTATTGGGACTACACCTCCAAGACTACTAAAAATAAAAGTTTTCTTGATAAAGTTCTATGGAAACATATTTACCTCTCTTATCTGGATTTTCCAGATTTTTGCATGTCTTTGCTACTAAATACTATCAGCTTTATCTTGTTCCTACCAATCTAAAAAGGGGATGTGAGTAAACGAAGTTTGGTGCTTGTTTCATATATTCCATAAAGTTATGAATTGTGTGAAATCTCCATGTAACAGAATAATAATCTCTTTACATTCAGTTGCACCACCTTTAGCTGGAGTAACTGCAATCAGATTCTCCTTGTAATTGGTAATCTCTCTTATGCGTGCTTAATTTTACCATTACTCCAATACTGAAACATAGAAAAATATTAGCATACATGACATTGCTCATAGAAAAAGTCAGTGGAGTAGACAGTGATTTTAAACAAATTCCTGATAGTTGGGGAAGGAATTATTGCAAACCTCTCTGTACAGTAGAATTCAGAGTTATGAGTCCTATGATGCAGATTAGTGTGGAAACCATAAGAGTATGCCATGGTCCACCTACAATGGTTGAAAAGCTGAGCATGACTTGCAATGCCTATGCTAGGAATACCTGGAACCTGTCTGCATTTGAAAGATTGTAGCCTCTCAGTATTTCTAAATGCCAAATAGCACCTGAATCTGTATATACACCTCTCGGGCATGAGATTTAATTCAGGAGATCCTCTACTACCCCTCTTTTTTGTAGATAAAGTGGTTTGTTATTTTAAAACTGAAGGCAAAGCCCTAAGAAAACAAGAGTATGCTGTTGTGTCAGCTGGAAAGAAACTACAAATATTCTCTCTTCAAAAGCTCTGATAAGCAGCTGGAATTACCCACAGAAACTGTTCTACTTCTTTTGATACATCTAATATTTGTTCTATCCTTATATAAGTGCATTTTGTAACAGTCTGGAATTGTATATGAGGCATGTCCTTGTATTCTCTTTAACATCTTATAATAACCATAATTATAAGGTGACCAACTTTTTTACAATGAAAAGGAGGACACAAATTGAAGAAAAAAATATCCTAAATAAAAGAAACATTTTATTCATTGCAACAATAATACAGACAACTTGCATGTACAAAGTTTGCCAGCCAGGTGTTTTGGCGCACTCAGTAGCAATTCCTATTAGCTTTCGAAAGCCAATAGTGGGAGTAGCACAGCTCATGCAAAAGTTGAAAAAAAAAACCATCAAAAAAAGGTGCCGGAATGCCGTTCTGAGCATTATATGAGGGGGGAAAAAAAGCCCTGCAGATTAGTCTTCAAATATCGAAAAGGAGGACATAAAGGAGGACACTTTTTTTAAATTTTTATTCATAATACAATTAAAACAACAGTGGACAAACATGACATTCAGGAATACATTTTCCTATCAGTTCCTATCATGTACAAAAGTTTAATACATCGTTCTTAACCTCTATATAAGCCTCATCTTCTATACAATACAATTATATATACAATTATATGTACAGTTATGTATATCTTTTAATTCTACCATTAACTTAAAGTCCGAGCAGTTCTTAATTCATACCAACGGTAAAATTTGCCCCAGATTTCGAAGTATTCATGTTCTGTCTTGTCTTTCATAATCATTGTAAGCCTGTCCATCTCAGCACATGATAGAATTTTATGCAGGAACTCTTCTTCCGTTGGGGTTCCCTTATTCCTCCAATTTTGAGCAAAAACCAGTCTGGAAGCCGTTAAAATGTGTAGCATTAAATAAAGTATGCCTTTGTCATGCTTTTGCGTAGTTAAACCTAATAGAGTTCTGGTTTTGGTTCTACCACTTGCTCTAATATTTCTTCCAACCATACTTTAATCCTGTTCCAAAAATCACAAGCTCGCGTGCATTCCCACTACATATGATAGTAAGTTCCACTTGTCAAATTACATTTCCAACATTTAGGGGAGACATTGGTACACATTTTAGCCAATCTTGTGGGTGGGAGATGCCATCTATAAAACATTGTGTAAAGGTTCTCTTTGTAAGAGGTGGCCAAAGTAAGCTTCTTGTTTCTTGCCCATAGTTCTTGCCAAATGTGCAGATCAAAATTAAGACCAAAGTCCTTGCTCCAATTCAACATAGTCACTTTTACTTGTTCTTCGTACATTGCCTGATCTAACAAATAGTAGTATAATTTTTTAATAATTTTATCCTCCGACCCCAAAATTATTTTATCCAATTCTATTGGTTCTAATTTAATGCCTAACTCTTTTTTGTCTTTCCGATATCTCGCCTGCAGTTGCAGGTATGCCCACCATTCTAATTCTATCCCTTCATCCTGGAGGACACTTTTTGAGGGAGGACAGAACTTACAAAAGGAGGACTGTCCTCCCTAAAGGAGGACAGTTGGTCACCTTAATAATTAGCTTGGAGAAATTCTACTTAACATAGCACCATCTTCTGATCTACTGGGAGCATTAGATTTTAATGGATTTTTTTAAAAAATTAAAACAATTGTATCTAACTTCTGCAGCATCAAAAAGCCTTTGCATTTTAAAATTAAAAATATGTTATAGTTTGATTATTATTTTTTCTCTAGTAAGATTGATTTAGCTCACAGAAGGGGAGAATGGCTGAAACCTCTTATAACACTATGGCCTTCTTACAGCCTTCACACTATAAAACCAAGCCATTAGATGAGTGATTTCATTTTTACCTTTACATTGGCAGTAAAGCATTGCAGGTTATCAGCCTTCTCTCCTCCCTCCCCCCCCATACTTTCTGGAATTAAGGGACGAGACGCTGTCTGGAGATAAATGGTGATAAAAGAAACCACCAAGGCACTATTGCGAGAAGGCAAAGTTAGTTTTTTGCAAAACATTTCTTCCCTTTGAATACATGCTGCAACAGCTATCCAGGCCTAAGATTCGAAACCTATAAGAACGCCAGATTAAATTGAGGGTATTCTTAGTCTAAATCAGTGTTTTTTCAAACTTGGCAACTTTTAAGATGTGGGAACTTCAACTCCCAGAATTCCCCAGTCAGCATGTGGGAATTGTTTGTGAAAGGAAAAGGGTTTGAAAAATTGAAAACCATGGGTGAAATTTCAGAACAACACTGAAGGCGTCCGAGCTCCGCTCACACGGGTAACGTTTTCCTCCGGATACCCGAGAAAATCGGCCTATGTGGAGCCACGTGCGACTCTGTCTATTTTTTATCTCTGTTGACTCAAGGCGGGCTTCCGCTCTTGCCCCTGACTAAGATGGCGGCGAGATCACCGCCGCGGAACTGAGAAAATGCCATCACTCAGCTCATTTGGACGCGATCACGTGATCAGGACACCGCAAACTTGGTAGATTCGACAAGTCGCTCAAGCTAACTGATCAATTGAAAGGGCGCCGGAGACCAACGTGGTGGCGGCACTAACAG